AGATAGTAATAGCCAGTTGGAAATTTAATCATATTCTATTTGTAACCTACAATTCTTGCATCCTACAGAAGTATTTCTGTGTACTTTATTAATTTACATTGAGACAGCAAGCTTTGCTGTGAAACAGTTAATATCGTTTGCATGGTTTCTATAAAATAAAGAGTAAAAATTTTATCCCTTGCATGTGAATCTCTGACACAACTACTTAGCTCTTCTAGCAAGAAAATAGATATAAATAATAATTCCTAAATTAATAGACATAAGTTTTATTTATAAATATAGGTGAAAGGCCAGATTTGGTGTGTAGATTGTAGTTCACTCCTGATTTGCACCATCAGATATTGCCATTGTACTGCAGGCCACAGATATGCTCCTAGTCTACCTCCTGGCAGAACAGTCAGTCCCCATTTAAAACCATCACAATGTACTTAACATATTTTTTCCACTATAGCATGTCATAGTGGATCATGTGATACATCATATCATGGCTATCATATATGGAATGTAGTATATCATTATGTTATAAAGTGTATTTATTTCTTAGGCTATTTCTTTTTAGATCACAAGAAAAATACACATGTGTATTTCCAAGAAAACTTCATTTTTACGACTTAGCAAAGTAAATAGTACTTTATGCAATTTACAAATGAGGAAAACTTTTCAAAGTTTAAATAACTTTCGCATAGTCACACAACAAATAAACTGCAAAAGGTAATATTTGAGCTTAGAGTTCCCTGTTCCCAAAACTTGTTCTTCATTGAAGTGCTACGGAGGTGTCCATAGGAAATAAGCAATCGATGTGGGCTTCTTTACATCTGGATCATAATGTTTAGCATTGCTAACAATTATTGAATTTTTTTTATATGCCCAACATTATGCCAAGTCTTTTTTGCATGCAGCGTCTCTTTGGACTCTTCTTAAATTCTTTAGGATTGCTTTTATAACACCTTGTTGTACACAAAAAGAAACTGTAGCTGTAGAGTTAAAGTAAGTTACTCAAAGTTGCATAGATAAGATTCTGCTGGATCAGAAACCACACAGAAGCACCAAAGCTGGTTCCACAGGGGCCCTGTCTCTGAGGAAGAGTTCACCCAGGAAAAATTCACAGAGTCTGCCGTAGAGTTTAGGTGATGGGCTGTCTGCTTCTGGGTTATCGTCATAGGCCTCATCACCATTCAGGGTTTCCTGCAATGTACGCTTTTCCTCCATAGCCGTACAATACTTTGTGCTACACTGTCCATTATTTCCATAGCCCAACCCACCTCTTTTTGGAAATATTGTTACTATTTCCTTTGAAGGGCAGAAATAAGCTGATTTTTGAGAGATTATCACTTTGCACGACTATCAAACATTTCTGAAATGTGCTCTGCAAAATTATGCCTTTTGAGAAAGTGTCCTTTTTTGTCTGAATTGAAAGATATTCATAAATTTCCTCCCTTCTTCCCTCCTTCCTTCCTTCCTTCTTTCCATAGCTCATTCAATCATTCATCATGTATCTTCTCATTCATGCAAGAATTGTTGAATGGGTGACTACTATACACCAGACTTCAAGATGTGATATAAAATGTCTATAATAAATAGAGCCATTGCCTCTAGAAAATATGCAGTAAGTCAAAAGAGGTATTAAAACTAGCAAGTCATATAAAGCTTTGATATTCAAATGTAGTTTATTTGTGAGCTTATCAAAAATGCAGAAAGTAGGACCTACATGCAGCCTGCCAAATCACGATCTGCAATGCACAAATTTGCATTTGTGTGAACATTAAATTCCAAAAAAACTCTGCAAAACAATGCTGTCATAGATGTGCAGCCATTATCACTGTAGAAGCAAAGGAAATAGAGGTTACTACCCTAGGGTAAAAGTGGGTATTTTAGACAAAGCTTCATTGGGAGTGATGAACGAGCTTAATTTTATGAAATACATAGATATTATCCAGGGAAACAATAAGCAGCCTAAGCAGAGAGAGAAGGAGGCATGAGTGCATAGCCTATAGAGAAGCTAAAAGAAGTCAGAATTCTGGGGGAACCACAGAGAAGCCAGTATGGGTAAGGAGATGTTCTGAGATGATTACAGAACATAGTGTGGACATGAATCTGGCCAACCACTGGGTCAGCTAAGCATTTTGCACTTGATCAGCTGTGGTTAAGTACTAGCTGCACATTAGAATGACTCTGAGACATTTTTAAATACGGAGACTTGAGCTCTACTGTCAGATTCTGATTTAGTCGCTCAAGGATGAAACTTTTTTAAAGTTCCTCCAGGTGATTCAGATGTGCGGAATGAATTGTTCAGAGCAGTTTTAGGCAATGAGATGTCATCGACAAGTTTTCAGTGGGAGAACAGGGTTATCTGTCCAGATACTGCTCACCCCTCTGCAGGGGCCAATGGGGGTGGGAGCCAGGGCAAGCATACAGGGATCGGCTAGGTGATCTAACTTTAGGGAGTCGTTTGGAGTTGCTGAATAAGGAAAAGCCCAAACCAACCAAAAAGGTGGAGTGCCAAGGCCCACCTGAACACAATCACATAACCCCTAACACTATAAAGCTATAAGTAAATGATAGTGCTGAGGAGATGGAATTACTGTGCTCTAAGAAATGACTTAACATGAGGGGCAGGATATATGTTAGGGTTCTACCTGTGCTGACTAACTAAATGCTACTCCTAGCCTGGCCCGTTAAGTGACACATGATCAAGGCTGTGTGGCAGATATTATATTGGGTGTTGACATGGCCTAAGAATTAGACAAAAGAAAGAGTACAAGAGGGGGCAGACGGTGAAGGGAGGGCAGGAGAAAGGGAAAAAAATGAGAACCAAGATCGGTCATGTAAAGGTACAAGATCCCAATATTGAATGTAACTGTACTGTATACTTTAAAAGTACCAATAAACTCAATGAAAAAAAAAAAAAGAAAGAGGACAAGAAACTTCTGGACAGTAGGAATGAAAATATGTAGGCTTCTTGTCTCAGGGGTATTTGTGTGGATTTATAGGAAGTCCAGAATACCTGGGCGGCTCCCTTGGCCTACGAAGAGAAATGAACTGTGGCGCATGGGACCTCCTAAGAAACTGGGATTAGAAAGGCCTTAATCCCAGAAATCTTTGTTTAAAAAAAAACAAAAAGCAAAATCCCATTAAGAAAAACAAACGCAGAGTTTCAAGAAATTGGGATCCATAGTTGTACTTGAGTTCAGTTTCTGAAGCTTATGTAGAAGATGAAATTGAAGGGACGAAACCAGATATAGGGAAACAAGGGAAGAGACTGTGGCTACTCTCCGTGAGGCAAATGATGACATTCTTAACTAGAACGGCTGTGTTAAGAAGGCAGCTATGTAGGGTGGGAGTGATAACCTAATGTTTGAAGATGTAAGGAGGGGACAACTCTGAGGTGGATTGGGTGTAAGAACTGAGAAACGAAGAGGGATCCTAAAGAACTTACAGAATTGACTCAGTGCAGAGGTACAATATAAAATGTGGGCACAGCTCCTGACATTAAAACGTATCCACAGAACACACATGTAGCAATAATACAAAGCAATGGCCTACAGAACAAAGGTGCCAGAAATGAGTAAGAGCATCACTCGTCTCCAAATCCCCAAAGTTCTCGAGTTTTATTTTATAACCACTCAGTTACCAAACTCTACACTATAATAAAGAGGGTGAAATAGATTCACATACTGAGACTGTTGGTTTGAAACTGTCATGTGAAAACCTTCATTTTGATTAATATAATTGAAGTGTTAAGTGAGTATCTGCTAAATTGCAATCAAATCAGTAAAATGTTATTCGTTTTTTAAATGAATCTGTCAGAAGTTCTGTGAGTATTCTGCCAACAGTGAATTGGATTTGCACAGCTTGACTACAGATATTTCTATTTTATAAATGGGTAAACTGAGACATTGAAAATTCAACCTCTTGATGAGGTAGAGTCAATAGTTGACTTGCAAATAGACCAACAAGATCTCCAAAAAACCAAAACAGTGCTGTCCTTGGTGACTCCCTTGCAAAATGGAATGGATTTAATTAAGGTTCTAAATCAACATATTGAGAGGCAACTAGGTAGGTAATGAAAAATTCACCACCTTCCCTCTATCTGGACTCACTACAAACTTAGATATCAACTCAGAAATCCTCAAGACTCTCTGTGGGGTTCATTCCGCAAAGTATAAAACATATTTCCCAGCTCAATCAATTTATAAATAATTCGTGCTAGGTCTCTGCTTGTGTGAGCCAGACACTGCAGTCTTCCTTTCTCTCACTGTCTTCTCTATTCCTGACCACTACAGCTGCTCCTCTTTCTCCCTCCCTTTGTTACCCTCATCTTCACACTCTGTGGTATTGCTTTCAATGTCCTTGCTCTAAAATATTTCAAGATGTGGGGAAATATTTTGACCCCTTTGAGATAAAAAGTCTTTACAGAATTACTCAGTAGTGAATATCTTCCTACATGCTGGGTAGATAACGGTGAAAAATAAAGACATCTCCTTACCTTCATGGTGCTTATCATCGAGTGGGTTTCGGGGAATGACTGTAACAAATGCAACAAATGAAAGGGAAATGGTAGGGTCCTGGTAAAGCAAACAGCATAGGGGCTTAATCCAGTCCTATTGGGAGAGATGTGGGTGTCTGGAAAGACTCCTGACAGGGACAGTTTTCCTTCAATTATCAAAACATAAGGCAAAAGATATAAAAGAGTAATCAGCTACAAACACTGGTGTACTGAGTTCCAAATTTGACTGCACAAATATCTATATTCCAGAATATTTACAAGACTCTCCAGGGACAGGACATAGGCACCTGTGTTTCTTAAAAGATTATTTTCTTAAAAGATTCCCTCATGATTCTTATGTTCAGTAAGGGTTGCAATCCATTGTTCCATAGATTGATGAAAATAAGAACTTCTAAATGAAATATAGCTGCACAGTCACTGTTGATATTAATTTTCCTCTTGAAAACATTGCTAGAATTCCCTAAAATGTTGAATTTATTCTGCTTTATTCTAGTGTTTCAAATGCACACACAAATATGAAAGAAGGAAGTAGCAAGAGAGAGAAAGAGAAGCGAAACCAAGGACCCTACCCCATGTTGTACTGCACGTCTAAAGTCCACAAAGCATTGAATAAAGTAGAATTGTTTTTATGCAACAATGTATATTTTCTTTATTCTTCAACACAGATTATTTATTCCATTGCTGCCACGTGCAACAATGGAAGAGATTAATAATATCAACACTGAGCATTTTCTGCACAGATCTGATGGTACTAGTCACAAGGAAGGTCTGAAGTTTGGTATTACTACGTTTGTTTTTACATTATAGCCACTCCATAGTACAACCACACTGACAGTTGTAAATATATTTATTGAAGAATTAGTTTGTTGTGTATTAGGGAATAGGTAAAAAAGAAACAGCCAAAGAGTCCTTACTTCATGCAAGAAACTATAGAAAGTACTTTTAAAATGTTATTTACTTCAGATTTGTGCTAACCTTACAGCTCTCTGAGGTATGTTTTCGTATACCCATGACAAATAAAGCTACCTAGGACCAAAGAGTAAATGATTTGTCCTGTGTCCCATAGGAACTTGTTTACTGGACTGTTTGCCCAGTGTTTGCCTGGGTATTGGCAGTAATTGTCAGAATGTGTGTTGTGGAGTTCCCTCTATTAAGGGAACTAATGACGCTGTACGATTCTAAAGAAGGGCACTGTAACAATTTTTATCATAAGGGTAGAATTTGGACTAAATTACAATCTTCTCAAAAGCAACTTTGTTTCTTACTAGTCAAGTAAAATTTCATTTTAGCCAACAGATTCTAAAACACAAGGCAACAAAAATGTCTGCAGTTTGCAAATAACTTCAACTTTATTTTAGTTATGGGATTCTGAGAGGGGGAAAAACATACGTTCGATGGTATTAGATGTTCCAGAACACCAAAGAAATCTAGTCAAAAAGATTGAATGTCTTAGTCCTATAAATGGACATTGGAATAACAAATCCAAACTCATGATTTTTAAAGGTATTTCCAGATACTACCATCATAAAGCAATTTAGATGGCTAAAGAATATAGGCAAGAAAAATGCCCATGCAATATTGCAGACTGGTATGTAAATGTACGGCAAAAGAAAACAAATCGCCCAGTCTATTTAAGGAAACATCTACTGCCTAAATCTTTAAGTTGTTTTAGTTAGTATGCAGATCACACTACACTTTGTGCTGTAAGAGTGGCTTGCCGAGCTCATGGTCTACTGATAGCTCATGTGCAGGATTTCTTAGCACACCATTTGTGTACTAATTTCATGCTTGTCTACATTTTCCCTTAAAGTTATTTTTCTTATTCCAAATTAACTTTATTTGTATGGAATAGATGTTTTCGTTCTGTCATGGGGGTAGGGCTATGCAAACATAAAATGATTTTGAAATAGTGCAGCCCTTTCTGTGCCACCACACGTAAAATACTACATATCAAGCGTCCTAAATCTGAAAATACAAATTCCAAAATGCTCTAAAGTCTGAAACTTTCTGAGTGTCAATGTGTTGCTAAAAGTGGAAAATTCCACACCTGATCTTATATGAGGAGTTGTAGTCAGAACACAGGTTTACTAAAAATACTGTATAAAATTACTTCCAGGCTCTGTGTATATAATGTGTATATGAAACATAAATTAATTCCATGTTTAAACTTGGGTGCACTCCTTGAGATATTTCATTATGCATATGCAAATATTCCAAAGTCCAGAAAATTCCAAAATCTGAAACACTTCTGTTCCTCAGCATTTCAGATAAGGGATACTCAACCTATATAGCCAAAGTTTGAGCAAACATTTTCTAACTAAACCTCCAAAACAAAAATGTTTGCTGTTAACAACATACTCTAATCTCTTGAGACATCAGATAAAACTTCCTTGTTATATTTCCCAAAAAGAATGTTTTGCTTTCAGTGAAAAAAACACAGATATTTCTTAATCACAATTCCTAAGATATGGGAGGTGAGGGAGGTAAGGAGAAATAATTTTCTGTCTAGAAATTACACAGCTGGCACAGAAAGACAGCCTTCCCTTTCTTCCTAAGTAGGCCTTCCTCCAACCCCACCCCCAAAAAAGAAACCAAAGACAAGGCCATGCCTGAGAGAGGAGGAGCAAAGCAAGCAGTCTAGGCCTCTCTTCAACTAATTATCAGCCAGAGTTCTTGCAAACAAGACCCAAAGCTAAGGAGATCCAGTAATTTTAAGAGAAGAGGTGTTACTGAGAGGGCCAGGAGCTCACAAACTGGATGGGAAAGGAGAGGCAGTATTGAAAAAAGAGACACTCAGGAAGCTGTGGAGCACGAAGAGGAGGGAGACAGTGGGATTATTTTACAGGAGGAACAGCTGGGACAAGCAAGTGTTGGGCACAGTAGACTAAGATCACCAACTACCACTGGATGTTCTCCCCACTGGACACTAACATCAATGCCTAGATAAATTGAAGAAAGCTCTCTGCCTTTAAAAATGGAAAAGTCCCTTGCAAGAGGAACCAGTGGCAGATCAAGGTCATATGGTCACTTTTCAGTTGGCTCAGGTGAAGGAGGTGAAGAGCCCCTGCTCCCTGGACTCCAGCTGAAGTCCTGCAGCAGCATACAGACCATGTTGTATTTGATTCATGCCTGTGCTATGTGACTTGTTTAGCATTTTGAGTATTACCCCAGAAATTCAGCTCCTTTTTGCTGTAGGCAGAGATCTTAATTCAATAGAACTTAGATATTATGACATTCCTTCAAATTGGAAAATATTCAGCAACCAAAAAGTTGACAAATATTGCTGTTAGACATTGAATGAGATCAGTCAGAGTCCTCTTAGCTTGTGTGTAATTCAGACTAAGTCAGCAGATAGGCAATTATATATATTACTGGGAGGAAAAGATATAATTTGGGGAATAAAAACACACTTCCCTCAGACAGGAATTGAGGAGTTGGAGTGCCCTTGGCTAAAGATTAAATCAAATCCTTATTAACAGTATTTTTAGAGCTTTGACTGGGTTTGTGTAATAGAAGAAGAGGTCAGTGATGGGCAGATGGCTTAGCAGCAGGCTCCTTTCCTGTGGCTGTCAGGCCTTGAACACTGGAAGGAAGGGGAGGAAAGAAGATCATACTGCCCTTCTGGGTTATGTGAAGTACTAACTCCATTGTCTTGGGGAATCTCCTTCTCCACTGAAGTAGTACAGGCTTCAGTGTTGCTAAGGATCAACATTGCCTCTGGGAGGCCTGTGTATGTTTATTTGCATTTAATTAAGCCCTGGTGTGGCAGTAGCAGAGGTATCCAAGCAAGAGTATTACAAAAGTCCTGCTTCTAGCTGATTTAAGTAGAAAAGATCTGTTACTTATCAAAGTGTCTTCAACAAATCTGTCTTTAACAAAAATTTCCATAATGTGCGCCCCTGACAGGAGTTTTCAATAACAGGTATATCTGTAATAAAAATTCTTTGGGAAGGGTATTTCAGCAGTACATCATTATGTACACTAAGGATTGGTTAATCAAAAGCCATCTGTGGCTTTCCTTCGCTTTGCCTTCCTCTACTGAGCAGGCTGAAGGACTGATGTAATCATCTTCCCAGATAATGTTGCAACTAGGGATGGGCGTGAGCCATGCCTTGACCACTTAAGTATCCACAGAAGCCTTAGGGTAGGTAATTATTATTAAAAAAAAAAAAAAAAGAAAAGAAAAGAAAACCCTTGCTAAATGTAAAAGGTGCAGATTTTTCTCTTACCCTTTGTCCTTTATGCTTAGAACCAGGACTCAATCCCTAAAAGTGTAAAAGTGCAGTGACCACCTTGTATTCATGAAGGTAGAAAGACAGAGCTGAGGATGATGGAGCAGAAAGTGACAATGATAAGCCTTGTGCTCTAATTGCATCAGTATTCTACAACCCCACTTCTGAGCAATTTACCTTCTAATGTTTTATGGAGCGTATCAAACCTGATATTTTCAAGCTCTGAGTTGAGGATTTTGTTACTTTCAACTGAAGGCAGTCTAACCATGTAGGGTCTCTAGCTCAGCTCACTTCAATGGCAGTAACATCTCTGTCAATGCTTAATAGCAGTTTTTACAGATTTAGTGACCCTTGTCATACTGTGACAATGACAGCTTAACCCATGCATTTAACAAACGTTATGACACTGTCTTTTGGATTCTTGCATTCCATAGTTATTTCTACTTTTATTGATTTTATTTTTCATTTCAGGAGCAATAGCAATTTTGAACTCATTCTAGTCATTAGAGATGGACTTGTTAGTAGAATCTGGGGTTTATTACCATTTACTGCTTGCTATTATTCCTTGTTTTTTGTCATTGTAGCATAATTTTATTTTGTTTCATTGGACCTCCTTTACACTGCCCTGAATTGTGAATAAGAAATGGGTAGCATTCTTTCAGTCTTTCTAAAGTTCTATTTTTATTAGTATTTCTCTGTAGAACATAATGGTTACCTTCACAGTGGGAACTTGGTGCATGTACATAACACATCTTAATTCTTTTAAGATCCCCTTCCCTCTCATCTCTTCCACCTCATATTGAGGATAAACTTAAACTTCTTGCGATCATGAAAATTTTCAAATTGTTTTTCAGATTTAAGCAGATAATTATAAGTCAACTACATAATTCCTTTCATATTTTAACCTCCTAAAACTTTATTTTCATTTTTAATTTGAAAGAAACTGTGGTACAATCTGTTTTAAGAAACTCAATTTTTGGCTAGAGCTGAGACAGAGAATATAAAATGAAGTCTTGTCATTTTGAAAAAAATGAATACGTGAAAAGCATTAACTTTTTCAATCTTTGTACTTCTAGCTCTAGATGGTAAAAAAAAAATATTTTCCCTAAAAATCACTTCATAATGAATACTTGTAATGCTTCCTCCTAGATAGAGATATGTCTGTGGTTGCTTGTAAATATCAAGTTCCATGATCTCTTGGCCTTCTGCTGTCAGACTCAGAACATAAGAACAAAACTACTTTTTTATCTCAGAAGTTTGCTATCCAGTGTTGACTAATAACACACCACTAGAAAATGTTAAATGAAGTATCTATGTTCGTAGATTTAGCCAGAGGCCCGCCATACCATTGGTAAGTGCACACAGA